CTTAATCTCTTCTCCATTTATTATATTTTGGTGCTGCCAATTGGCCCAGAGGTGAGAATCTTTGTGTTCTTGATGTTAAGCTTCAATCCATATTAAAGACTACAGACTATCATTCAAATGAATCAATTCTTTAGTCTTTAGTTTTCATTATTCTTGTCCAGCTTCAAAATGCTTAGGAGATAATTGAACATATACTGGCTTGGTTTAAGCACACCTTAGTCTTCAAAGTGCCATCTTTGCTCTTTCACACTTTAAGCAGCTTCCATCAGGTGTACAAAGCTGCAATCACATTGCCTGTTTCATAGGGAAGAAAACTGAAGCTCAGAGCAGAGGTTGCTTGCCTCAGGCCACCATGCCAGCTGACCATTGAGCTAAATCTAATTGAATCCAAATCTAAAACTAATTGGATTACCTGCCTTACACTCCCACCTCACTTCCTGTAACACCTTCGTGGCTGTGACTAACTTGGTAAATGTGTCAGAAGTCCATCCTGTGGCTGGGCCTCAGGGCATGTTCTAGTCCCTACCAGAGCCCTAACCAATTTTATTCATTTACTCATTCAACAAAAATATATTGAGTGGAAAAAAAAATATTGAGTGGTGCTATGTCCCAGGTCTTGGGCTGGGTGCCTGCTGTACAATAAGCATAAATGGCAAAGAGAGGCTTTGCTTTTTATGCTTATTGTATAAAGAAGAGAGATTGTATAGAGAATCTTATTGTATAGAGGAGAGAGACTATGGAGAGACCACGACATGGGAGAAAAAAATCAGATAGGAAGTGGGAGAACGGACTGGCGAGGACGGAACTAATGCAAAGTATAGAGGTATCCTCTCTGAGGGGTAATTTGTGAGCTGAGAACCTCAAGAGAAAGGAGCAGGAGCCAGGCATACTGAGATGGGGAGGAGGGCACAGCCATGCAAAGACCCTGCGGCAGGAATGAGCTGGCAGGTTTGAAGAACAGCCAGGAGTTAGGTGTGGCTGCAACAGAGTGAGTAAGGGGAAGAGGAGAGAGAGGAGAACAGGGAGAGTTTTTCCCTAGGGAGTGGCATGGTGTGATTGTAAGATCTGGAATGTTCCCTGTGGCTACAGTGGGAAGTAGCTTCTGCACAACTGACAATCCACAGTGGTGATGGCAGCTGTTTTGGGGGCTCTTGGGGGACACTGCATAAGTTTGACGGTGGTCTGGTGACCGAGTCTTGGGGACAAAGCGAACACATGGAATCAGTCTTCCCTGGAACATCTCTCCCACTGCATGAAGGCGCTGGACCTCCTGCACAGCTTCCCTTGCCCCCTCCCCTCCAAGAAGCAGGAAAAGGGAAAAAGGAGGAAAGGTGGGGTAGGGGAGGGCAGAAGGCAGAGGAGATGTTTCTCCATCCTGGCAGGAAGGAAGCGCGTTAGAGCTGGCCTAGGCCTCCCCACCCTGCTTCCGTTGGCAACTACTCTCAGCTTTAAAAATACTCCATGGCACTGTTAGTGCTGAGTGTGCTCACTGGCTGTCAGGACAGGCTGGGCTAGAGCCCGATGGAGCTGGGCTCTAATCCTTGCTCCGTCCCTGCTTTGCTGCATAAGCTCAGGTCAGGATAGGATTTTTCAATAAATAATTTTAGACCAGTTGAATATCTGTGTGGGAGAGCAGAATAAAAGAAACTACATGAACTTTGATCCCTACCTCAAACCATACACATGCAAATTCATCACTGGTGCAAAGGACTTTCTCACATAGAGTCTTTTATGTTGATTACTTCCCTCCCTCCTCATGAATCTGTTAGGACCTTCTCTCTCACAAGCCCCAGCCAGTCTGAGATGCCTGGCAGACAAGTAGCACTCAGGAAACAATGATGACTATTATTATTAGGTGCCCTGGGTGGTGAACATATTTAAATACTTGAGTACCAATGGAAAACTTGATGGTTCAAACACAGGCCACAAGAATTGCTTCTGGCACCACAACAAGATAAAGATAAACAACCCAATTGAAAAATGGGTACAGGATTTGAACAGACACTTCATCAAAGAAGACATTCAGATGGCCAACAAGCACATGAAGAAATGTTCAAAATCCCCAGCTCAAAGAGAGATGCAAATCAAAACAACTATGAGATATCATCTCAACCCAATCAGAATAGCAAAATTTAACAGAATAGCAAGCAAGAAATGCTGGCGAGGTTGTGGAGAAACTGGAACCCTTATTCACTATTGGTGGAAGTGTAAAATGGTGCAACCACTGTGGAAGGTGGTGTGGTGGTTTCTCAAAAAGTTGCAAATAGAGATACCATTTGACCCAACAATTCCACTACTGGGAATATACCCTGAAGAGACCATAACTGCCACCCAAGCAGATATATGCACACCCATGTTTATTGCGGCTTTATTCACAATAGCAAGGAACTGGAAACAACCTAAGTGCCCATCAACAAACGAATGGATAGAGAAGCTGTGGTATATTCACACAATGGAATGCTGCATTGAAAAACAAGGAACTCATGCAATATTATTCAAAATGGGTGACCCTGGAGGACATTATGCTGAGTGAAATATCTTACTCACAAAAGGAAAAATACTGCATAGTGCCACTGCTGTAAAACAGGACTGACATGGGGTTTGGGGGGAGACTGAGAAAGATGGGATAAATAATGTATACTGTTTGTTTCCAACTCTCATAGGAGTACTTTTTTTTTTTAGAAGTACTTTTAAAACTGAAGAAATCGATCGGAGTAAGATCTACAGGTTCTGAAAATGTCACATGACACTACTCTTGGGGTATAAGTGGGGGAGATGAAGTGACTTATACACTGAACATCTTTGTATTATCTCTTTTTTAAAAAAATGTGTTAAGAATATGCATAAGCAAAATGTTTGCCAATTCAGCACTCTGTATGTGTCCATTTCAATGACACTGATTATCATCGTCACATTGGGCAACCACAACTGTTACTCATTTCCAAATTTCTCCATCACTTTTACCAGAAACTCAGTGTCCCCTCAGCTATGGCTCTCCCTGTGGCCCTCCATCCCATCCCCGGAAGCACTCTGGGTATTTTGGTCTCTAAATGTTTGCAAGTCCTGTTATTTCACATCAGTGGGTTTACACCATATTTGTTCTTTTGTGACTGACTCATTTCATTTCATGTATTATTTCATATGCCTCTAGATGAAGCTATTCAATTTTGAATTATTAAAAAAGGAAAAAATTTTTAAATATGAAAAAAAGAGTTATAATGCTGAGGACTTAAGATTGCCTATGAATTACTTTGGGAAAATGTGCTGTCAGGAACCTCTCCAGTATGCAAAAGAGCAACGATGTCAGTCTAGAGACTAAGGTGTGCCTGATCCAGGCCATGATCTTCACAATTACTGGCTATGCATCAGAGAGCTGGACAATGACTAAGGGTGGCAGAAGAACCAATGCATTGTGGAACTGGAGAAGAGCACTGAACTTACTATGGATCATCAAGAGAACAAACAGGTCTGTTCTGGAGAGGGTGAAACTGGGCTGCTCCTGGTAAGCTAGGATCTTGAGGCTCTTTCTCACATACTTTGGGAATGTGGCCAGAAGGGACCAGTCCTTGGAGAAGGACATCGTGCTCAGCCCGATGGAGGGACAGCACAGGAGAGGAAGACGCTGGATGAGATAGATTTGACACAGTGACTGGGGTTATGGGAGCAGGTGTGTGGGAGACAGTGAGACTGGCTCAGGATAGGGCATGGTTCAGAGCTGAAAGGAAAATGGTAAATATTGTCTTGAAAAGGGAAACTTGTATGGAGATAACGGGACATATAAACCAGAAAATCAAACCCAAATTCACAGCCAGCAAGTCAATTCTGATTCACAGATACTCTGCAGGGCAGAGGACAATTCTCCCATAGGGCTTCCAAACCTGTCTTTTTTTATTATTATTATTTTGTGTGCGTGTACCGTCAAATCAGATCTGACTGGTACGGGAGGATATTGCACCTCCTTCTCCGGCAGAGCGTCTGGTGGATTCGAACCGTGTTCCTCTGGGATTGCAGTACAGTTTCTTGCCACTAGGCCACCAGAGCTCCCCTCAAACCTGTCATTTTTACGGAAGCGAATAGTAATTTCTTTCTCCCAAAGGCCGATGGTGGATCTGAACCACCAAGCTTCTCATAAAAAGCCAAGAGTTTAACTACTGTGCAACCAGGGCTATAGGATTCATTTGGCTGCTTAAAAGATGAGACAACATACTGAAGGGCATAGGGAACCACCTAGGTTGAGCTGGTGGATGTGTAAAAAGTCCACACCTGAGGTGAATACCTTTTATTCATGCCCCTTTTACACATTGCCACACTCAAACAAGGAGGATAAAAAATGAAAAAAAGTAGGAATTTATGTTTAGGCATAAATTTGGAAAAAATTATGAAAATGCTAGTGGGAAAATTAAGTGGTCTATTATGATTATTAGGTAATCTATGGTAGCATGTTGTATCATCTTTCTTGGTAATGGGAGCAAATACGGATCTCTTCCAATCAGTTTCCAAGTAGCTGTCTTATAACTATCCTGGCATAGACTGGTGAGTACTTCCAGGGCTACATCCATTAGGGTTTTTTGGTTTTGTTTTTTCCTTTTTTTTTTTTTTTTTTGTGTGTGTGTGTGTGTGTGTGTGTACCATCAAATCGGATCTGACTGGTACAGGAGGAGATTGTCCTCCCTTCTTTTTTTTTTTTAAACTGGGAAAACATTTCCAATTTTTATTCTTAAAAATAGGAATCAAAATTGCAAAGGCAGATTTATAGTCACTTCTGAACGAGAGGGTCATTTTGGAACATCACAAGAACGCATACTCAGATGGAAATCTAGTTAAACTGCGATTGCTCCTCAGGTTGCATTCACTCCTGCATTTTCTCAATTAGTTCTTCCTTGTATTTGCCTTTCTCTTTTCCAACTTGCCGAGATTTAGCTTTACGTTCAAGATTTTTTTCCCCGATCTTTATCCAATTTCAGCCTGGTAATAACCACCTTGCTTGAATGAATGCCCACATGCACTGTGGTACCATTAGCCTTCTCACGCTGCACTCTTTCGACGTAGATGACATACTTCTTTCTGCACACCTGGACTACCTTGCCAATCTGCTGACCTTTGTAATGACCTCGCACCACCTGGACCTCGTCATCCTTGCGGATGGGCATGGAGCGCACATTGTACTTCTGCCGCAGCTCTTTGGACAGAGGGGAGGACATGATCTTCTCGCGCACATGCGAAGGGGCATTGAAGTGGCGTTTGTGGTTCTTGCTGCGGTCCAAGGTAACGAAAGGGTTGAACTTCATGGTGGCAGCTGTCAGGCAGCGTCTTGTCCTTCCTTCCTGAGCAGAGCATCTGGTTGATTCGAACCACGTACCTCTAGGATTGCAGTGCAGCTTCTTGCCACTAGGACATCAGAGCTCCCTACATCCACTAGTTAAAACACATTAAGTGGTATCCTATCAGGTCCTGGGGCCTTATTATTTTGCCAATGCCTTCAGTGCAGCTTGAATTAATATCACATGCAAATAAAATATTGCTGAAAATTATCCAAGAACAACTAGCACAGTAGCTTGACAGATAATTGCCAAACTATCACTAACACTGAGAAAACTGGGAATCTCCGACCACTTAATTATGCTCATATGAAAGCTACACTTAGACCAAGAAGCTACTTTCAAAACAAAGCCAGGGAACACTGCATGGTTTAAAATTAAGAAAAGTGTGTGTCAGGGCTGCATTCTTTCTTCATATCAATTCAATTTGCATACTGAGCACATCATTTGAGAACTCTATGAATTCTATGAGGAAGAATGTGGCATCAAGATTGGAGGAAGATTGGTGCGCCCTGTAGGTGAAAGCCCTTCCAGAAGTTGGCATGGACTCTTCTGGGCATTCTGAAGATGATCTTCAGCAGGATTTTGCTTGCAGAGGAAGATGAAAGATGGCCAACCCAAGTGTCACCCAGAGCTTGTCATCTCACCGCCTGCCTTCAGACAACCTTGGTTTGTGTCGCTGTTCTACTGCCTTTATTACTTTTTCAACCTTGAGTGGGTCTGTTCACTACTCAGGAAGCCCCTTCTCCTTTTGTGGAAGGGGAAAGTAATAGTATCTACTTTGAGTTACAATTAGAGTACTTGGCCAAGAGAAAGGGAAGTGTTGTCCCTGCTCCGGTCCCTGGCAAGGCTCAAGGTCCAGACCTCAGAAAAGCCCCTGAGGAGAGCCACCTAGTCCCCAGGGGAGAGCCACCTGGTCCCTGGGAAGAGTTGCCTGATGTGTATGAGGAATTTTATCTAAGTCACTTCCCTCCATCTCCTCCTCCAGTGCACCTGTAATAACACCTCCAAAACCCTTTTATTTGTAATTCACAAGTTTGTTGTCTCTAGGTTTGCTTCCTTTCCTATAGGTAACTTGGACACTGAGTCTTGTTCCAGAACCTGAACCCAGAGCCCAGTCCCAGGGACCGAGGGAAACATAACAGCCAGCTAAGGAAGTGAAGGTGGATGAAGCCTCAAAGTTCAGCCAGCCACTCCCACTGTATTCACCCACGCAAACACCTTGCATCCCAGAGAGCAGAAAATGTCATAAAAATATCTTCTCACTGAACAAGAAGGCATGAAGCTTCAACTCAAGACCACAAGTAAAAAGTTGAAATGGACTCCCCTTACCCATCATCTCAACACCCCTGTTCAGCATGAAGCAGCCAGGGAGTCGGCACCCCTATTCCAAAATGGGGAAACCACAAATAAAAAAAAAGAATCACAATTGGACTTTGCCCACCATTACCCTGTCTTCTCCAGTCCCCACCAGATCTTTCTCATTTCCTTTACCCACTCCCTCCATCCACCAAATGCAGCCCTATGATTTCATCCCTACCCATCCTTACCCTTCTGCTCCCACCTCTTACTCCCTTAGATCCCCATACATGTTTTCTTACAGTAATAATAATAATAATAATAATAATAATTATTATTATTATTATTATTTAAACTTAAAAAAGATTGGAGGAAGACTCACCAACCACCTATGGTATACAGATGACACACCTTGCTTGCTGCAAGTGAGGGGAACTGGAAACTTTTGATGCAGAAGATCAAAGACTATAGCCTTCAATAGGTATTACATATCAACATCAAGAAGACAAAAATTTTCACCCCTGGGTATATTATTAACATCAGGTTCATGGAAAAAGAATTGAAATTGTCAATGATTTTTGTGTCACTTGGATCCACAATCAACATCCTTGGTACCAGCAGTCAGAAGGTCAAAAGACATAATGCAAAAAAAAAAAAAAGACATAATGCAATGAGAAATCTGCTGTCAGGGACCTTTCCAAAGTACTGAGGAGCTATGATGTCAGTTTACAGGCCAACGTGCATCTGATTCAGGCCATGGTCTTTTCAATTATTTGCTGTGCATCTGAGACCTGGGAAATGAATAAGGATAACAAGAAGAATCAAAGCCTTTGAGTTGTGGTATTGGAGAAGAGTACTGAATATTCCATGAACTGCCAAAAAAACCAAACAGATACATCTTGGAGAAAGTGTGGCCAGAGGGCTCCTTAGAGGCAAGGATGATGAAGCTTCATCTCATATATGTGTACAGTGTTGTTGTTGTTGTGTGCCATTGAGCCTACTGTGACTCATAGTGGCTCTATGTGCATTAGCTCTAAAACATGCCTTGTTCTGAGCCAATCCCATCATCTCCAACAGACTTAATCCATTTCTCCAGTCACTGAGTCAATCTATCTCATCCTGGGTCTTCCTTTCCTGTGCTGTCTCTTCACCCTTCCAAGCATGATGAACTTCTCCAAGGACTGGTCCCTCCTGGCCATGTACCCGTAGTATGTGAAATAGAGACTCAAAATCCTTGCCTCCAGGGAGCAGCTCAATTTCACCCTCTTCAGGAGAGATCTGTTTATTCTCTTGCAGTCCTCGGTATATCCAGGACTCTTCTCCAATGCCACAATTCAAAAGCATTGATCCTTCTTCTGTCATCCTTAGTTATTGTCCAGCTCTTGGATGCAAAGCAAGTAATTGCAAAGACCATGGCCTGGATCAAGCACACCTTAGTCTCTATACTGACAGCGTTGATCTTCAGGTTTCTAGAGAGGTCTTTGACAGCAGATTTCCCAATGCAATTCGTCTTTGATTTCCTGACTGCTGGTGCCAAGAGTGTTGAATGTGGAACCAAGTGAGCTGAAGTCATCAACAATGTCAATCTCCTTCCTCTCCATCCATCATGATGCTGCTAATTGGTCCAGTGGTGAGAATCTTTGTTTTCTTGATGTTAAGCTTCAATCCATATTGAAGGCTGCAGTCCTTGACCTTCTGCAGCAAAAGCCTCATGGCATGGGTATGGTGTGGGGAAAGTCTGTTCTGTAGGGAAGGACATCACGCTTGGAAAGATAGAGGGTCAGTGAAAGAAAGAAAGACTCTTAACCAGATGGATCTCGAGCCAGTCTCACTGCCTGAAACACACCCACCCTTATTAATTCAATTATCATGTCAATCCATCTCATCTGGAGTCTTCCTCTCCTTCTCCAAAGACTGGTCACTCCTAACCACATGCCCAAAGTATGTAAGACAGAGCTTCAAATTTCTTGTCTCCGGGTTTCACCTTCTATAGTTTGTTCTCTTGGCAGTCCATGGTATGTTCAAGACTCTTCTCCAGCACCACAACTCAAAAGCATTGATTCTTCTTCAGTCATTCTTAGTCATTGTCCATCTCTGTGATGCATAGTAAGTAATTGCAAAAACCATGGACTGGATCAGGTGCACCTTAGTCTCCAGACTGACATCGTTGCTCTTTAGCACTTTGGAGAGGTCCCTAACAGCAGATTTCCCCAATGCAATTCATCTTTTGATTTCCTGGCTGCTGGTGCCAAGAGTGTTGATTGTGGAGCTGAGCAAACAGAAATTGTTAACACCTCAATCTCCTCTCCATCTCTCATGGTGCTGCCAATTGACCTGGTGGTGAGAATCCTTGTCTTTTGTCATTTTGTTGTTTTGTTTTGGGTTTGTATTTTGTTTTTGTTTGGTTTTAAATCTTTTTCTTTTTTATATTGAGCTTCAATTCATATTTTTTTTTCAATTCATATTGAAGACTGCAGCCCTTGGCTTTCTGCAGTAAACACTTCATGTCCTCCTCAGTTTCAGTAAGCAAGGGTTGTGTCATCTGCATGACATGGATTGTTGAGGAATCTTCCTCCAATTATGATGCCACATTCCTCCTCATAGAGCCCAGCCTCCAGGATGATCTGTTCTTCATACAAATTGAAAAGTTATGCAGATAGGATGCATCCCTGATTTCAAACCAGCCAGTATTTCCTTGCTCTGGTCTGATGACTGCCTCCTGGTCCAAGCACAAGGAATTATTCTGGGATTCCCATTCTCCTTAAGGTGAGCCACAATACCTTGTGATCCACTTCAAGCATCAACTAGATGACAACTAACAAAAATTACAACTTTGTGTATGTCTTTATATATGTGTGTGTTATGAATGTCTTATTTTTGTAAGCAGAGGGAAAGGTATAAAAAATAGATTTTGAAAAATATTGCTCTGATGATCTTAGGTTAGAAAAACCAGTCCTTTCACCCTGCGGAGTAGAGTTTGATTCTAACACACATGGTGTGAACTCAATGGCACCTGATTTGTTTGTTTGCATTAAAGCTTTTAAGAGGGTTCATTCTGGGCAAAGCAATAAGAAACAATTCCACCTTTGGCTGAACTGTATTTTCTAAGAAATAACTTTATAATATTAACTGTTCTTATTTTGGGGACAAATGGATCTGCTCTGTAAATTTTCTCCCTGTTCACAATAAAAAAGACTTCTTTTTGATTGCCAAAGAACAAACAAATCTGTCTTGGAAGAAGTGCTCTTTAGAAGCAAGGATGGAGTGATTTTGTCTCACATATATTGGGCGTATTATCAAGATGGGCCAGTCCCTAGAGGAAGACCTCAAGCTTGATAAAAGTCTGGGATCAGTGAGAAAAGAGGAAGATCTTCAAGGAGACGGATTGGTACAGTGACTGCAGAAATGAGCTTAAGCACATCAGAGATTGTGGGAGGAGCGGGGTTTCCTTCTGCTATGCAGAGGGTGGCTATGAGTCTGATTGGTCCCCCTTATTTGTTGTGGCGTGTCATTGAGTTTAATATGAACTCAGCTCATAGGTTTGATTGCTTGGCATGGAAGTTTAAGGTTATGGTTCCATGAACATCTCAGTTATTTGGCCTAACGGTGTATTCTGTGCTTCTGTTATCCATCCAAATTCTCTGTGTGGTACTCGAGGTCTTACACATTTG